CAGCCCCATATACTGCAAGAAGTGGATCTGGGCCAGACGGGTTCAACAATGCGATTGCCCATCCAGCCCTCTGTAAATCACGAAGAGCGGGCTTGCTGCAAGAACCATCTGGAGCAAGCTCGATCGCCTGCGCCTCTGGACATGCAGACTCCACCATCCCCTCAGGGTTCAAATCCTGCACCTCTCCAGCCATGTTCACGACGAATGCTTCATGACCAGGTGCCAGTTGTGGAATCTCCTCGTCGAGATATTCAAACATTCCATGCTCGAAAAACCCCGAACTATGCTCATCAATGCCTCGTTGGATGAATTCGGGAGGTACCTCATAAGAACTCCTGGCAGCCACCACATCACCCCTCATGCAAGTGAACAAACGGTGATGTACCGTATCTGGAGCTCCGCAATCACAACGACCGTCCGTCTCATATCCTTTGCATCTCGCCCGCTCACGTGTCCATATTCCACCGAGCGCGAATGATTTGACCAGGAACTTCTGGTATGAGGTGTACTTCGAATACTTCTCTCTCACGAACGGCCGAAGAATATCATAACTTGATCGCATGCCAGCTGGAAGCCCTCTCTTGGCAGCCAAGTCGAGCTCCAACTGTCTCTGTAATGACTCAGTCAGCCGCTTCTCCAGCATGCCTGGTGTAAACTGTTGCAATGGCACTTCAACTCCTCGATGGTCCAGCCAGACATCCCACTGCTTGATTGTCCAACCAACCCTGCGGACACAAAGAGCAGCTCGCTCAAGGGGCCCTCGCGAAGACGCCCACGCTAGATTCTCAAGCGGGCGGTCCTGCAGGGCTTGTGTCCACCACGTTCGGAGCTGCTCCAAAGAAACGAATGCCGTCTCTGGCGCCAGGACTGCTTGCCATATCATTCTTGACCACTGCAGAGCTGGGGCAAGTGCTTGGCGCGCTGACGGATCATCGAAGAGCACAGCCTTTGAACTTGCTGAAATCCCACCGTGGCATGGTTTCACGAACTGAAAGAACTGTCTACGTAAAGCACTCCATTCAGAATCTGACAGGCCTGTGATCTCCACACCGAAAGTCAGGGCTGGTAGCGCCCCTTGTTCTGAAGATCTTGCCTGTCCTCTCGTACTTCTTGGTGGGGATAGCCTTTCGATACCGAGCAATTTTCTTCAACCGATGTTGAAAACGTCGACGTCGACTCTGTTGCTTCTTCCGCGTGGCTGCAGCTCGTCTTGATCTCCCACCAGCCTGATCAGTTCCAAGATACGTAGCTGCTCGCTTGTTGGAAGAAGACTCAAACCCCAATCTGTCAGCAACCTTGTCACCAACTCCAGATTCGGAACATACGATTGAGAGCTTGTTATTGAACTTGGCCCCCAATCTCGTCGCAGTCGTCTGGAAACTGCGACCAACCCTCACCGCCATCTCGATCAACTCATCTGTGGTATCCGCTTCGATGCCTAAGCTGCTGTCGTCAATGTAAGACGAAAATTGCAGCTCACTGTGCAAAGCCGCGAATCTGTCGTACTCCTCCAACGCATGTACCTTGATCCCCACATCCGCATATGCATCACCCGCTGGGAATCCTCGCCGAGCGTGGACAGGTTGGAGACAATGGTGCCTCATCAATCGAATGATTCGTGGTGCCGACCAAGTGTTGAATAATAATTTCGTCAAACACGTGGGGGCTCCATATCTAGAAAACTTCTCCCTCACCGTAACTAAGTCAATGGTCTCATAATACTTGCTATAATCAGCAATGATCTGCAAGCTCTTCCTTTTATCATGCACGCAAGCTTCGACGCGAGCAGCAACCTGCCACGCAGAATCGATAGCGGATCGGCCCGACGAGGCCCCCCAATACACACGGCGTAGAAGCTGCTGGAGTGGTGCAAGCTCAGGTCGACGAAGCCGTTGCCATACACGATATACCGATCCGTACAAAACAATAAGTCGATGTCCTCCCATCGGCTTGGGAAGCATAGGCATGCAAATCCATAACATCTGCTTCGGTAACATTCCCAAAGATTCGAATGCTTCGAACAACATGCCAAGGATGCCGAAGCTCTCATCGCTCAAGAGCAGCAGGTGTCTAGGATGTAGACCGTCGGGAGACCCTGCAGTTGATGTGGAAAAAGTCTGAGCGACGGCCCTGGCGTCAGCAGCAGTTGCTCTCGGAAAGGAACTCCTGTCTGGTATCCATGCTTTGGGCGCCTCGGAGCTAGCATCCCACAGCAATCGATACTCATCTGCGGTAGTCTCGACAACAGCGTGTGGATGTGCAGACGGAAGCCCGTCAGCGGTGACCACCGTCGTCTCGTTGACCTGATGATACTGCGTAATCTTGTGCAAAGCTCGCGCGCCTCCTGCTGCAGCTTGATCGCACCAATGTTGCCAACGTTTTTGAGATTATCTGCCAGCTGCCTGCTTCGCAAACCCAACGTCCTCGTCAATCTCCTCAAGGAATTCAGCAATCTGCTCTGGAAAGAATCGACCTGCTACCAATCGTCTCGCCTGTGTCACACCTGCATCCAATCTCGAACATAAATGAACCCCAGGATACGGTGACGTCTGAAACAGCATCAGCTCGTCGTCAAGCATCGCAGCTTTCTCCTCATCGCCATTGCTGGATGCCTGCTTCAACCGACTGAGACCTTGCAAAGCATCCGAAAGCCACTTCCATCCATCCGCTTGTGCAGCAAGGCCTTCAGCATCACTGCCATTGCAAGTCACATCGACCCACTTCGGCTTGATACAGCGCGCATACGAGCCAGGACACTTGACTTCCTCACCCGTCATGATACCAATTCTCTCAGCAGCTCTGGTGATGAAACTTCCCCAAGCCAAGGTAAGAAAACCCCATGCAGCATCCGAAGGTGACTCCTTGGCCATCTCAACCGCTGTGGAAGCATACCTACGCTCCAATGACCAATCAAAGTCCTGCTGGGCGGGCCCAAACACCGCGGTTGTGGGAAGCTTTGGGACTGCAGCATACGTCAATATCTGAAGTCGATGTCCATCAGCAGCCAGTTCGAGTTGCACAGGGCGGTGTGGCTTGGTTTCCCACGTAGCATCAACCTTTATCTGCTTAAGTAATCGATGTGCTCCCACACTGAGACAAAAGAAAACAATCGTACTCGTTGATGATGCCGTCCTGCACGTGACCGATGCTGGAGCAACAATTTGCACTTGGGCAGCCCTGGCGAACCCTGAAGACTCAAGTGCCGCCTTGTCGAGATTCCAGTCACCACCGATAATGCTAGGCGAGGTGAGCCCAGCGAGGGACTGCCCAATGCAAGAAAGAATCCTTGAGTTGCGCACTGTCAAACCCTCAGAACAATGAAGGTACAAATTGAAAATATGCATCTCTGGCCAACCTGGCACATCAACCACCACATGTAGCGCCCTGTGGGCGACCAGAACTCCAGAGACAGTCTGACCATCAATTTGAGGACGTCGAAGACCAACTTCAGCACGTGCGAAAACAGCCACTCCCGCAGAGGGAAGATGGCCCTTGGTCTCATGTCCTGGTTCAATGATAACGCTCCAGCCACGTCTGGCAGCCCAAGAGGAAATCTCCTCTGCATTGTGTGAAAAATAACCCAGCTCCTGTGCCAACACGATTATGGCTGAGGTGCGTTGCAATCTGCGCTTCAAAGTCTCTCGACCTTGATTTGCATTGAACGTTTCAACTAACCGAACCTGCTGCTGGCCAGTACGTGGTACGGGAGCAGCACGCGTCTTACCTTGAACAACAGATAATCCACTCACCAATGGACGGTTGCTAAAGGTCCTCTTGATCGTCACCAACTTTGCGAACTTTCGTCTTCTGGAGTGCGTTGACCATCTCTGCAAGCTTAGCGGGTCGTGTCTCTTCGCTCTCCTGCTGCAACTTGGTCCACACCTCTCCAGCTTCTGACCCGGACAAATCGATCTCGGGTGGTGGTCGCTTCTCGCCAGCACCTCCACCTGCAGGCCGCTCAGCAGCAGGAGGAGCCACAGGCCCAGCATGAGTCCTGCCCTCCATGGGGTCGTCGACCGTCCCTGCGGGGGCAACGCTCTCGAAAATGATCTGCTGGAACTTCTCGAACTTCGGGTGTACGCTGAGGTCCTTGAACAACTTCTCAAGCTCGGCGTCCTCAGCGCAGATGAGGTTGGAGCCCAGCTGCTTGATGAAATCCTCGGGGACTCCTGCAGCTTCAGCTCCTCTGGGACTACGCTGCTTGCGCAGCTTAGCCGCCGACATTTCAGCTTCCACTTCGAGTAGATCGACTTCCTTCGACTTAGCCTCAAGTGCAGCTTTTTTGCCATCCAACTCATTCTGAAGTGATGACAACCTTGCCGAAAGTTCCGATATCTCATACTCCATCTTCGTCTTCTGGGACTTGCAGCGTTCGAGCTTCTGGAAGGCAGCCTTGTGTGCCGACACTGGCGGGCGCATGGCTCTGTGCTCTTCACGAAGCTGATCCAATCTTTTCTTTGCCGCTGGCAAGTCAGGATCGTCCTCGTCCAGCTCCTTCGTCTGCTTGATGAACTGGTCGAGTACATCAATGCGCTTCTGAAGCGCAGCTCTCTTGGCATAGTCCGTCTCGTTGCCGTCGGGGTCCTTGGCCATCGTGTCACCTCCGTCACCCTTGGCCGCGACACCCTTCTCAGCCTTGACTCTCTTGAGCTCAGCTGAAAGAAACTCCATCTGCTTCTGCATCTGCTTATACTGATCACTCCACGGTGCTGGAGACTGCGATGCACGTCGAGGCGCCGACGCAGGCTGCTGCGTCGCCTCTCTCGCAGCCTTCCTTGCCCGTTGGATGAATACCGTCGGTGCATCCTGTCCGCATCTGCACTTGATGCGGCTCGCCCAATTCGCCGATGCTCCGCAGGCTGGGCACCCCCATGTGGGCTTGCGGGGGCCTGGTAGTACCGGCCCCGCCATGAGCGCCATCGGGGAGATCCTCTCGACCTCGCCCGCACAACACTCGTGTTCTCCGTCTCAACAAAGGGGGTTGCTCCTGCAGGAACTCACTGCCACAATGGCTCGCTGCGGCGGTGCCGTTCTGAAGTCTGCCGCAGCAAGCTCAGGACACCTGAGCCAGAACGGCTGGAGAAGGCAGAGGAAGAGAGGGGAGCAAGGGAGGGTGAAAAGGGAGATGGACGAAATTGAGGAGGAGAAGGTCAGTGGACCGCGCTCTGTACTCGAGGCGGCATCGCAAAATCTATATGATATCGTTCTGTGTTTGGCGCGTCGCCCATGCTTGCGAACCAGCGGTCGCGGTGACTGCGCGCGCCGCACCAGTGGAGCCCAAGACGCGAGCCAAAATGGCAACGGACGGAAGCAGGAGGAGGGAAAAGAGAGAAGAGAAGGAGGCGGAGGAGAGGGAGAAGGAGGATAAGAAGGAAGGAGGCGGGCGGAGGCTGGAGCGCAGAGTGCGCTGGAGCTCGCAGGGCTCCAAAAGGTCAGGGAGGTGGGCGGGGCATCGGAGCCCCGCCCTGGTAGAGACTGGGCGCGCCGGCCCTGGAGTGGGGCGGGGAGCGGGCACTGGTGGGTGCGGTCGGGGGGAAGGGGGCGCAAGCGGGGAGGAGGAGGAGGAGGAGGAGGAGGAGGAGGAAGAGGAAGAGGAGAAGGAGGAGGAGGAGGAGGAGGAAGAGGAGGAGGAGGAGGAAGAGGAGGAGGAGGAAGGACGAGGAGGAGGTGACGGGCCGGCGACGACAGACGCATTGCCCATGCTCCCCAAAGCGTCGGTCCTGAAACACCCGGGGATAATATACCTCTAGCACACGCATCGTGTGTTCTCGCTGTGCTAAAAAATCTTGCTCGGAAAACACATTCAGATCTGGGGCCTTACGCACAGGACATGCGTGCTGAAGAAGGCGGAGCAAGACAAGGATCCTTAGTCGGCCATTTTCGCGGCTCGCTCTCTCCTGGGCACTTTTTGGCACCCGCCCCCCACCTACGAGCCGCGCCACAAAGCATCGCGACGAGGGAAGGTGCCTTCCCCCGAGGGAGGGAGAGAGAGAGAGAGGGAAAGCGAGAGAGCGAGAGAGAGAGAGACAGACAGAGAGAGGGACAGAGAGAGATAGAGAGAGCAGCAGAAAGAGAGACAGAGAGGCTGGGGGAGAGAGACGGAGAAACAAAGAGACGCACAAAGTGAGAAAGAGAGAGAGAGGAAACAAAAAATAGGGATACAGAGAACGAGAGAGCGATATATATATATATAGAGAGAGAGAGAGAGAGAGAGAGAGAGACAGAGACAGAGACAGAGACAGAAACGGAGACGGAGAGACTGAAACAGAGAGTCAAAGACAGAAACGAAGGCAGATCCCTCTACAGAGGGCGTTGTCTATACATATGTACAGAAAAGAAAAAGAGGCGAGAAAGAGAGAGAGAGAGAAAGAGAGGAGGAAGAAGGGAAGACTGGAAAAACACAGAAAGAGGCCGAAAACGGACAAAGACATAAACTGAGACTGAGACTTCGACTGAGACGAGAGTGAGAGAGAGGAGGGAGGATCTATAGAGAGAGTAGAACAGATGAGCGGATGAGTGACGTAAGCGAGAGAGCAAGAGAGGGAGAGAGGGAGGGAGCGAGGGAGAGAACTAAACAACAACACAACGGCCAAGTAAACAATGTATATGTCTATTTACAGAGGTAGAGACTATGTATACGTACATACAAATACACATATACATGTGTACAGACATACACACAGACAGGCATATCGACTGACAGGTAGCCAGGCAGACAGAGATACAGACAGACAGACAGACACGTCTACCCACATAAAAAAAACATGAATACAAAATATAAGGCGATGCATAAACATACACGCATGAAAGTACAACACCTACACATGTAGCTGTGTGCGTGTGGAACGATGTATACATGGAAATGTTGTTATATGTACATGCACAAATATGTATATATAGAGCGGGGGAGAGAGAGAGAGAGAGAGAAAAAAAAAGGAGAGAGAAGAGAGAGAGAGAGAGAGAGAGATAATTTCATAAAGAAGAGCGACGAGCAAGAGAAAGAGAGCGCGATAAAGAGAGGGGAAAGGAGAGATACAGAGAGAGGGGGAGAGGTGCACACATCAAAAAAACTGTACACGCGTATCTGTGAAGAGTGTGTGTGTGTGGGAGAGGGGCATATCTCCATATACTTACATATAACTACATACAGAAAATGAGGGAAAGAGGGAGAGACGGAAAGAAAGGGAGACAGAGCAGTAACCAACAGCAAGCAACAACCAACACGAACGGAATGAGAGAGAGAGTCGAAGCTCTGTAGAGTGAAAAAGAAACATAACACAGAGAGAGAGAGAGAGAGAAAGAGAAAAATAATACGGCAAAGGCGGCGACGAATGCGTATCCATCTCAGAATGAGTATGCGAAATGATGGACGGAATCTAGAGAAGGGAGCAATGAGAGACGGTAGAGAGAGAACAAGAGAAACAGGGAGTACACAGCGAAGAGACAAGGGGAGAGAAAAGGACAGGAGAGGGCATTGGAGCGGAGGGGAGAAGGACGCAGAAAGGATCCAACAACTCAACTGCCAGAAGCATACCGCGGTGTCCTGGTCGACGCGGTGATCGTTGAGGAAAGTCCCGTTCCGGGATCCTGGCGTCGCCCCACTCCCCTCGTCATCTCCCCCATGCCTCCTGCCCCTCCCCACCGACACACACACACATATACATTGCCCCCACCACGAGGGAGAACATCGGCCCTCGCCTCTGATAACCCCGCTGCCAAGCCATACGTACCACCGAACTGGCCGCCTCGGGTGGAGAATGCAAACCAAACCGGCAACATGGCATGCGACGGTATGCCTATGGCCTATGGCTTCGTATGGTTGATGGTTGGTACGGCGGGTTCGTGTCGTGACGACCCTGGCGTTGGTTTCCGACACCGCGTGGATCGTTCAAGCTTGAGCGACCGGCGGCTTTCCGATCGCCGAATTGTTCCATACTGGCCGTTCCTTAGCCAATTCTGGCGCCGTTCAGCCTTGAATGCCCGCGGCGGGGTCGCATCCGCGTCGATAGGGCGCGAACCTACTGAATGTACGCCTTACTCTCCCACCCCTACCCCTCTCACCACCGTCGCCCCTCACTAAATGCCTTCCCGCTTGGCCCCCATCCCACACTCAGATTCGTTCAACTAGGGATTTAGCCCGCAGGTCCCAAGATCGCCAGAACCGCTCTTTATCGCGTGTGGGGCAAGGCACATCTTTTGAGCCAGGCAGGGAGATTCGGCGCCCAGGCGCGACTCGGAGTTTCCCTGAAGCAGCGGTTCGTGATAAGAACATTTTGACATACCAATGACAAGCGAAGGAAGCGAAGGCGAAATGGGGGAACACAGGGAGGGAGGGAGACTTGAGCGAGTGCGTCGACGGAGGGCGTCGATGAGGCGATCCCGCAACTGTTCTTCACATCACTTCTGCTTGTTAAAAGCGGCCAGAGATTCAGAACCCGCAGATCCCAAGATCGACAGAACCACTTTAACGTGTCTGGAGCAAGGCACATCTTTCGAGCCAGGCAGAAAGATTCGGCGCCCAGGCGCGACTCGGAGCCCCCCAGACCCGAACGGACAAAACTGGCCGCAGGCCGAACAACAAATCGCGTTTCATACACAATCAAGGTTAAACCTGCTCCACAGACCGGAAACTTTCAAAGACTCAACGGCATCGATCATGGTGGAAGCGGTGGCGCGGCACAACTGACGAGGGCAGGCAGCAGCGATGGCAGTCCAATGTCTGCCTCCTGGCGCGTGCCTGGAGAGCTCCTGGTGCGGCAATCCCGGTCTAGAGCAAAGGTTGCCGCATGCGTGGCACCAGCGCTGAAAACGAGACAGCCAGCCCCCTCGCCACGCTAAAATACGAGCGGCCTTCTTCCACGAGGTACCGAATTCACAGTGATGCAACATGGCCTCCGAATCATCGTGAGCCCGTCGTAAACTCAGAATGCGAGGGGCCTCCCACAGCAGAGATCTATCAGGAGTTTCGCGAAACACGGGAACGCCAACTTTGCGACAGCACTCGATCAGGCGACATGATAAATGGAACGTTGCGCTGCCATCTTTCAAGCGAGCTGTCTGCGAGGCAGTGAGAGAATCAAAGCCCATGGGAGCGGCAAGGGGGCGCAGAGGCTGCCTCAGAGCCTGCGACCATGTCGCACGCGGCGTCCCGAGCCAAACGCCTAGTACCGCGCCCGCGGATATCCATCCTCGCAGCAGCCTCTCCACCACGCGCACCAGCAGGTTCCCGTGCACGCCAACCTGGATATCGAGTGGCACCACGGCGTACCCTGCCCGTCTGAACTGCCGCCCCACGCCAGCTGAGCCCGCAAACAGCTTCAGGAAGACAGCGGCGGCGCCGCGTCGCGCCTTGCAGCGCGGCTCTGAGATCGCACCGCAACCGCCGCACGACGCCGGCGGCGGGGCAGCTCAGCGGCGGCGGACCGCCCCGAGGGCGCCCACCGCGGCGCAAGCGGGCCGCCCGCGGGCGGCCGGCCTTCTGCTCGGGGAGTCGGAACTCCGAAGCCCAGCGGGCCCCGCCTCGGCCAGGCGCCTGATCTGCGGCTTCAGCGGGTCGGGGACGTGGTCGATCACGCCCGATTTGATGAAGCCGCGCTCCGCAATCAGCTGAAAGTTCTGCCCCACCACTTCCCCGAACTTGAAGCTGGCCAGCAGGGCGAGGCTGATCTCCCGCAGCAACTTCGACTCCTTGGCATGCCCGGCCATGGAGGAGGCCGCTTCCCCGCCCCCACGACGCCTCACCTGCTCGACGGTGCGGCGCTTGGTCAGCAAGTCGCCTGACGCGTCGCCGCGTCGAAGCGAGTGGAGATGGGGGCTTCGGCTCTCGAGGATCAGCGCGGGCGCCCTTCGGGCGAAGACCGCGCGGAGCTCGGCGGGCCCGAATGTCCGCGGGATCTCGTCTGGCCGCGAGGCTTGCTTCAGCGCCTCTAGGAGGGGGTTGAGGAACGCATCTGAATCCACCAGGACGGACTCCTCGAAGAGACCTGTCTTTCCAGGGCGAGCCTCTGCCGCATCGCGAAGGAGGAGGCCCCGAGCCTCGCGCGCAGGACCCACAGTCGCGGCGGGGCCTACCACATGCCGACCCTTCAGCTTGAAGCACTCGCACGGGCGGAGGTAGCACGCGAAAGAGATCACGATCCACATCGCCATCCGCGCACGCCCCAGCGCCAGGGCGACCCCCGCGATCGCGAAGGCGGCGGTCCGCGGAAGGGGGCACCCGCCGCTTCCAGACAATGGCCGATCTCCAGCTCTGCGCGAGACCAGTCTTGCCGGCGCGCCGCACCTCGTGCAGGAAGTGGGACAAGGCTGCCAGCAGTTGGCCCCCCTCGGCAGCGGCCGCGCCAGCCCGGAACTGGGCGCTCAGGAAGCCCGCGACAGCAAGACCCAGCTGCTGGATCGAGCTCCACGAGACCTGGTGAAGGGCGCAGTAGTTCGTGAACTTCTGGCACATGTTGCGGTAGAGGGTCCCGGTCGACTCCTGGATCGCCAGCTGCTCCAGCGGTGAGAGCCCCGCTATCAGCTGACGGCTGGCCAGCAGGTCGCGAGCCAGGCTGGCACGTGTCCCAGCACGCAGGCCGCCCTTGGGCCGACGACCAGGGCGACGCGGCATCGGGCGCGGCAGGCGACCTCCCAAGGGCAGGGGTGACCGCCGCGCCGGGGATGGGACCAGCCCGCGGCAAACGCACTGAGGCGATCCAGCGAGTGCAATAACGCGAACCTGAGGCCAAGCCGAGGGCCGCCAAAGAGGCCCTTCTAGATGACGAGAGCAGGCCCGACCGCTAGTGGCCGCTAGGGCCACGGGCAGGTTGTCCACCAGCCTTGACAGGCGCATCCCGAAGGCCTCCGAACTCCGAAGAATATCACGAGCCCCAAAAACAAGTGCGTCACCCTCGAGGCCCAAGATGTTCATGTTCTCCGAGATCTTCATCGCCGAGACACCCGTCCAAAACGACTCCACCGAGACATCCTCGGGGACCTCGTCGAAGCTGGAATCCGAGACGCCCAGGAATTCCAGGGGCTGCAGGGAGCTAGGGGGGGGGAGGCGAAGGAACGACATCGGGACCAAATGCTCTTTCGAGGGCGCGAGCGACCCCCTCCACGCGATAACGCCAGCGCTCCGACTGGCGCCTTATCTCCGCGACCCGCTCGGGCGGCAGCCGGCGGCGCGCAGGCCCGAGCTCGAACTCCGAGGCGTCGGGGGCGACCACCCGCGAGTGCCAGGGCGCCAGCAGGTCGGCCTGCAGCAGAGGCAGTAGGCAGCGCACCTGCCACAGCTCCCGCCTCACGCTCTGCCACAGCGCGATGGGCTCTTGCCCAGCATTGGCGGCGAAAGCTCACGCCGCCCGCGCTGGGCAGAGCGCCTCGCGACGCAGCAGCGCAGCCCAGGAGATACGGCCGAGGAGGACCGCCACGAGCGCCCTGCTGCACTTGCCCACTCGCAGCAGCTTCTCGATCGCCCGCCGAACGCGCCAGAGACACTTGGGCCGCGTCGCGAGAAATCGCCTATCGAACAGGCTGGGGCAGGCCGTCTCCTGATCGTGGACCACCAGCCCCAGCGTCACCAGCTGCCCCCGCGCGGCCTGAGCGCCGCGGTTGGCACCCTCCGCGTCGGCGTCGAGCACGAAGTAGTTGTCAACGTGCCCTGCGGCCACCTGCGGCCCCCCCCCTCTGCGCGCGCTGCCCTGGCTGGCCGTCTTCGACGAGGTGGCTGGGCGAGAAGCCACCCAGGCTGAGGCCTCGCCGAAGCACGCCCCGGCAGAGGCGCAGCGCCCGCGAAACCCCGCGGGCAGGACGCGGAGGCAGGGCGCGATGGGCCCCCAAGCGCCAGCGGGCAGCCCAGCGACGCCACGGCTCAGCAACAGCCCCGCGCCCAGGCTGGGGAGGGAGAAGCGATCCACAATATCAGGCGGCGCCAGCACGCGGTAGAAGGCGGCCTCCCGGTCGCCCAACGCGACGAACACCTGCCGGTCGGCCTCCAGCGCGCCAAACGCTGATGGCGTCGGGGGCCCCGTGGAAGGGGCGGGCAGGAAGTCGCAGTCGATGACCCTCGCGTCGAAGATCATCCGGAGAAGCTCGCCCTTGCGACGCGCAGAGAGAAAGGGGCCCCAGAACACGCAAGTAAATTCACACAAATAAGAATATTCTCAATATTTTCCCATCTGTTATTGGTTCGCGTCTTCCCCCCCTTCCCATATTTTCGCATATTTTCTGGGGGTCGACGATTAATTGTGTCTGTGTGTTTCTTTCCCTTCTGAAATGAACTATCTGAGTTCCCCGCCGTGACCACGCCTCCAAGTCAGCACGCCTCGGCGCCAGGCCTCTCTCAGAAAGGTAGCGCAATCACGAACGTTGCGCTTCAGAAGCGGGTCGACGCATGCGCCCCGCGGGCAAGCCTCAGCACGGAAGCTCCGAGCGGCCTGGGGCGGACGCAGCACGCGCCCCTTCCAGCCCCTGAGCCACGAGACGCCACTGTCGCCCAACAAGTCGTTCAAGAACACGGGCTTGCTGGAGAGGGGCGGCCAGGCGATCTCGTCGCCGTCAAAGGGAGCGACGGGCCCGCCATCACCGGAGTGGCCGGGCGCGCCAGACAGGAGCGCGCAGAGGGCCCCCTGTCCTAAGTGAAGATCTGCAGGAGGTGGTCCAACGCGCCGATAACTCTGGTGAATATGTTCCAGGGCCAAGCGCTGACCCGAGCACGGGGCTGACGTCGGAGCGGGAACCAAGACTGCCATACAAGTCGTTCAGCACGTCTACGCCATCGGAGGCCCACTTGTCGGCATGAGCAGCACGAAGACGGCGACGGACCACGCAGCGGCTAGCAGGTCGTTGGCAAGATTGACGGGACAACGGCTCCGAGGCGGGCAGAAGGAACAAGTCGCGCTGGCGGCCCTCCTCCGTGCCCTCGCAGAGCCGACGCCGCCGCGGGCTGGGGCGAGCGCGGCGCGGGCTGCCCAGCCCCCGCGCCGCGAGGCTCTCAAGCCTCCGCGCCCTGCCCTCGCTGGCCCTTCTTGCCTGATCTCTTGGCACTGGGATTTGGGAGGGCTCTCTCCTCGCGCGCCTTGCGGCGCTCCATGGCCAGAGCCGCCTTGCGCGACAGCTCTGCAGCCGCTTGCGTCTGCAATAGCGGGCAGACGCACAAGTTACCCCTCGAATGTTCATTCAGGAGGAAAAGGTGCCTGTCGTAGCTCTCGCCGTCCTGACCGTCGTTGAGGACGCGCCGATACCTTTCCTCCTGTACCTGCAGGGAGCGGTACACTACCTCGAAGGAGGTCAACGACGCCACGTTCAGTTGGTCACAGCACACGCCCTCCTGCAAGCTGCGGCAGCACTCCTCATTCCACCACCCCTGGGTCGGCGCCGGTGAGCCGGAAGGGGGTCTTGAACAACGTGTGCCTGCCCATGGGCGTGCCGCCGTGCTCGCAAATGAAGCGGCATGCCCAGAGGCACGTCCGGGGTCCTGTCAGCCTTCAATATGGCCAGGGGTGCTCGTCCAGCCGAAGGACCCCTTCCCTGAACTCGATGTGGCGCTGCCCAAGCCCCGAGCGGGCGCCATCGCAAGCGGCGGCACGGCAGCGGGCACCGCTGCGGGCGCAGCGGCCGCGGCGGGGCCTGCCAAATCGCCGCCTCCAGCGGGCGCGATCGGCGGCGCCGCAGGCTCAGGGGGCGGGACGGCCAGCGCGGGCGCGGCAGCCGCTCCTGCTGCGGCGGGCGGCGCCCAAGCAGCAGGCGCCGCGGCGGCGGGGGGGCCCCACCCAGCGCGGCCACCAGAGCGCCCACCCCACCGGACAGGCCTCCAGCTGCAGATTCGTCTCCAGCGCCTCCAGCACCAACGGCCGCAGGCCACCCAGCGGCCCCAGGGTCAGCCAGCGCGTGCACGCCAGCAGGGGCCCCGAGCACGTTGCCAGCCCGCAGCCCCAGCCAGGTACAGCACCGGCGCTGGCAGCCGAGGGAACCCAGCAGCGATCGCGCGGGCCACCGCGCCCCAGGCCTCTCCAGCCGTCGGTAACCGCCTGAACCGATGCACGCGTCCGCCTCTAAGCCCGCCTGACGTCGCGCCTTGGCCGACCAGCCTGATGACCTCCGCAACGTCGGACCGGGGGCGTTCGCCTCGTCTTAGTCGTCCCCGTCTGGGGTCATGATGCACGACAAAGCGCCCCTCTCTCCGAGCGTCAAGCGCTCATGCCACAGGAGCGGCCCTGCCACCGGGTACCTCACCAGGTAGAACGAGCCGGCCATCAGCGCGACTGCAGCTGCTTGAGTCGGCTAGCGAGCTTGCGCTGCTACGAGCTCCGCCAAGTCGACCACCTCGACGGCCGCCGCAGCCGCAAGTGGAATCCCTTGCTCCAGCCCGAGCGGAGGCGCCGCGCCCCGCGCTAGGACTTGGAAGCCGCAGGAGGCGATGGCGCGCTGCAGCGCCACCAGCAGCCGCGCAGCCGCCGCCAGCACCAGCTTCCCCACCTCGACAATGATCAGGTCAAGCAGCCCGATGCCGAGCTGGACTAACCTCGAAGGCCCCGCGTCGCCTGCCTCAGGGCACATCGGGCACGGGGTACAGGGCGACGGGCAGCTGTGCCACTCCGGGGCCTCCACGGCTGCCGCGATGCACTCGGAGAGAGGCACCAGGCGAGCGCCCGCCTCGGCAGCCTCCGCGGCGCACAGCCCAGTGCCAGCGCTGGCAGAGGGAGGCACCAGCGGCGACGGAGGCGCCCTTGGCGCAGCAAGCCACCACCAGCGCGCAAGGCCTATCGCACTGAGGTTGGCCACTAGCGGGAGCCCGAGACCCTGGGCCAGCATGGGACGAGGGCGGCTGCGCCCTCAAAGACTTGAGGCAGTACGTCGACGGAGGGCGCCGATGTGGCGATCCACCAACTGCTCTGCACATCACTTCTGCTTGTAAAAAGCGGCCATCTACTCGCACTCTGCCGCCTAGCTGGCCGATAGCCCCCCACACCTCCGAGACCTTCTGTCAAAGAGCAACACAAAGTTGGCGTTCCTTCTATCAACGTTGACGTTTCGGCGTCAACGTTGCACAATGCGTGGCAGGAGTGGGGCCGGGCGCACATCGCGCGCGAAAAGTCAAAATGTCGCTCTCGATTCGACGCCGTGCTCATTTTTCCTGTGAGTTCCCGCTTGGGCGCGGCGCCTCTACTTCGCTCGGCAACTCGTCGATAACGGGGTCGCGAGCAAGCGCATGAGAATGGCGTACCCGGGTGGATGCCGCACATCTGTTTCATTCGCCGCCGTTGGGAACCCTGCCCCTTCCTACTTCCTTTCCCTGCCCCTCCCCTCCAAGAACCTATCTGGCCCCGGCCCCTCCCAAGTCTCTGATCGTGACCTTCGAGTCGCCGCCAAAGTCCACAGACGCGTGCCGGTTGGAGATTGCCTCGGAGGAGATGGGAGAGGAGGGGAAGAGCGAGGGCAGGAAGGAGGGGCATTCAGGGAGGGGGGAAGCGAGGGACTCGAGGTAGGAAAGGAGAGGGCAGGAGAGGGAAACGAAGGGGAGGGGGACAGGGGAGGACGGAGGCAGAGTGGAAGGGATGAAGAGATAGAGGGAGTCGAGAGGGAGGGAAGGTGAAGGGGTGGCGTGAGAGGCGGCAGGGCCGGGCAAGGCCAGTCGCGGGCTCAGACCCCAGCCGCTCTCCCGCTCTCCCCTGCCCCCCGATGACGACGAGACGTCTGACGCGGGGGCCCGCGACGTACTCGGCAGCCCTGGCCTGCTCGCCTCCTCGGGGCAGGCCGACCCGACAAGGGGGTCAACGGCACTCGAGCCCGCAGCTCGCCCCCAGCCGCCTCCTCCGCACGCCCCCTCCTCCTCCACCCGCCCACCCACCCCGCCCTTCGCCACCTCCTCCTACTCGTCCTCCCCCTTCTGCCTCCCCGTCCTCATCATCCTCCCTTTCCTCCGAAACGCTGTCGGGCCCCATGCGCCCGTCTCTCCTCCCCCTCCTCCTCCTCCTCCTCCTCCTCCTCCTCCTCCTCTCCTTCCTTCTCCTCATCCTCGCCGAAGAAACAGCCAAGACAGCGAGCGGGCCGCCAACGGCATGGGAGTGCCAATGGGGGCCCCTGTGGTTGGGCTACCCCAACTCGCAGCCTGCTTGTTGGATTCGCTAACAAAGGGATTGCCCTGGCAAGCCAACCCAAAGAAAACCCTCACCAAGGCTGGGCAGTTCCGAGAACCCCATGGTCCCCCGCGAAAGCAGTGCGCTAGACGTTGCCGACGACGACGACGACGACGACGACGACGACGACGACGACGACGACGACAGTTCCGGGGCAGCAATCCGCTTGCTCCTCTGGCACCTTCTGCGGGCCCTGCTGGCGGAGGGGGGGAAGTGGAGGAGACCTGGAGGGGCCAGGGCGCGGGGAAATATCTCACCCTGGCCTTGGGCCAGGGAAGCCTGCCAGCCATCCGCCTTCCCTTCCCCCCGCGACTCCCCGAACCATCCCCGGGCAGCTGCTCTACGAGCCGCCTCCCCTCGCAGGCGCCAGAGGGAGGAGGGAGGGGATGAGGAAGAAGGGTAGTAGGAGGGCAGCAGTGGAGGTGGCACTGAGGGGGCCGGGGCTACGGATGCCAGGACCTTGGACACCCAACATGATGCCTTCCGCCCCCGCGCGCACAGTGGATACAAGGGCTGGCCCCGACCAACGACCCCCCACGCAATGAATACAAGGGTTGGCCCCGCCCGCGGCCGCTCGCACCTCGGGAAGAAGAGTCGGACCCTTCTGTTCCCACTGAACTAACAAGCAACACGCTGCGGATTGAACTACTAGACATTTCCCTACACCATCTGATCGCTGCTGATAGCGCAGACAACATCAAAGCGAGCGTGCGCCGACGCCCATGCCGCTCTTGCCATGGATCCCTGCCTGCAAACCAACGGGTAGACGAACCTCCCGTGCCCAAGGCTGCCACGTTGCTGGCTTTTGTGCTCCGCTATTTTGGCCCACACATGGTGGCAAGGCGCCCAGGCCATCGTCGGCGGCTTTGACAACGACGGCGTCCGACAGCAAGGCCACGCCGTCGAATTCCTTACGCCGGTTCGCCCTCTCGAGCCAGTCATCCCAGCTTAGCCCTGACGCTGACCTAACACGGCGGTCCCGCGCAATTGCTTTGCGCGCCGAGATCCAGCGAGACATGGCAACAGCACCTCTAAAGGTGTGGTGCTGATTCTGGAGCCGAAAGGCTTCGAACAAAAAGCCTGATGCCCCAGGCACTCGCTCGTATCAGTCTGCATCTACCCTGCACGCGTGTGTATCCGCAAAGGTCTCCATGTCCACCGATCTGGCCAAGCGCACCAGAGACCAGAGCTCCCACCTGGCTGGCTGGCCACTCGTCGGGACCGTGTCCAAGCAGCCAATAATGCAGCGCCATGGGATTGGCAGTCTGTGCGGCCGCCACGATGACAAGCATATTATCCGGGACCTCTCCGCTCGCTGCCTTGCAACGCAGTGTGCGGAGGCACAGCCTGATGGACAGCTGAGGTTCCCCAGCCTGTGGCTCCACATGGAAGTTGGCATTGCCGACGCAGCTGATTTTAACCACTACTATGGCTGGTGGGGGCAGCATTGCATGCCCATGCCCACGCGGGCCCACCAAGAAGGTGGAAAAACCGATGGAGCCTTCCTTCGCCCACCTCGAAGACACCGCCCCCCCGTTTCACCGTCGAGGGGGCGCTGCTGCCACCCTTACTCCCGCCGGTCTGCACGTTGGTCTCTCGGCACTTGGGGAACAGGCCGCTCCTGGAGAAGGGCCCCGTGTGCCGAACGTCGCTGCGGCACACGGTCGGCCACTCTCTTGGCACCTTGCGGCACACAGTGGGACCCGACGCACAAGCAGCCCATCGCTCGCGGGCCCCAGCGCCCGAGGGCCCCTCTTCTTAAAGGAGCTGCCGAGAGAGCAGGGACAGAGGGCAAAGGGAGCGCGGGAGGGAGAGGGCGAGAGAAGGAAAATGGAGGCTGAGGGTGAGGCCCCGCGGCCAAGGGGCGGAGAGCCTTGATGGAGGCAGAAGGGGGAATGGGTGTAGCAGCAACAGCAGCAGCAACAGCAGAAGCAGCAGGAAAGACGGGCAGCGGGTTCAGGGGGAGGTATGATGCCTTCAGATGGGGGCCAATCTCGGCACGGGGCTACGCCAACTGGCAATTGGAAGTCTTGCCGGCTGCGCTGACCCTAAGCCTGTCCCCGTCTGGAGGCTAACCTACGCCTCCTCCCGGAGCGACGATTAGCTGCGCCAAGCAGGAGTCCAATCTGGAAGGGGGAGGGAGAGGCTTCCAAGTGGGGCGGCCAGAGGTGAGTAGTATATCGGCGGCGGAGCGGGAGCTCGGGGGACGGGAGCAAGACGGGCGCATCGATGCTGACGCGACACGCCTGGGGGGAACAACCAAACGGAAAAGATATGGGCCACGGAAAATATAATATGCCCAAAGAAAAACACGGGCTGGCTGCTCCAACTCGGATCGTGAGAGGTATGGGCTCCGATGAGAACAGGACAGACACAACCTTACCCAGAGGACACAAGGGCTGGCCCCTCCCACCCCGCACTGCGCTGTGCCAGTGGTGTTCCCTATTTAAGGTGGAGGGGAGCGGGCCCCAAGCAAAGGGCACGGTGCTCCACCTGGGCCGGGAGGGGGCAAGGACCGGCATGTGTGAAGCTTGCGCACGGGGGAAGGGGGAATCGGTCCTGCGGTGTTTTTTGCAGACAAATAATCGTTCCATGGCAAGCCAGGAACGGCGGCCGTTAGGCTATCCGTCTCCTGCCGTGCTGGAGGGGGAACGCCCTGCCCCCTCTCAAGGGACCCCCTACTGGCACTCCCATGCCATTTGAGGCCCGCTCGCTGTCCTGGCCGCTTCCTCAGCGATATTATTCCTCCTCTTCTTCGTCCTCCTCCTCCTCCTCCTCCTCCTCCTCCTCCTCCTCCTCCTCCTCCTCCTCTTCGTCCTCCTCGTCGTCCTCGCCCTGACCGCGCCCACCGCGCCGCTGTGAGGCGAGGAGAGAACTAGCGAACGAAGAACGGTATATCCGCCAGCCCACCTGGGGGGGGACACCAAGCTGTGAAGATTCGGATCTGCACCCTGCTACCAGTCCTCAGCTCATGGGCTCCAGTGCCAGTTCCAGCGCAGTTTCTCTGTTCCAAGGTGTCAGATTGTATACATCGTGGCTCCTCGCTCCCTCGCGAGCCGAGATGCTCCCCGTTACCGCCAGCGAGAAGTCGCGTTCCCGGGGCCACATTCCTTTGTATGACAACGCAGTCGCGTTCCCGAAGCCACCTTCCTGAACGAATCCGAGGTCGCAATCCGTTGTGTGTTACAGCAAGTCCGCGCTCTCGAGGCCACAATCCAGAACCCATAGCAAACTACATCAATGTCGCGACCCGAAGTGACAACCCTGTGGACACTCTTACAATATCGCGACGCGCTCGCGCCCACGAGGACGCACCCCAACGCGCTCCCGAGGAAAGCAACGCTTTGCAGATCGTGAAAGACGCGCGCTCCTGAGGCCACCATCTCTCATTGTAAACAGGCCAGACCAACTGCCAACCATCTGTTTCGACTCGACAAGAAGCCCGCCAGCCGAGTTGCCAGCCAACCAGTCAGCCAACCGACATGAAAGCAAACCAACCGAGCGACAGAGCGTGGCCATGCAGCGGGGGCCAAGCGGTAGAGGGCGAAGCCCTTCAGATAAGTAAACGCTTCCGCTGCTGGGGACGCCAGTCCTAGGACGGCTGGAAAGCTTCTACCCCCACCTCTCAACCTTTCCAACCGCCAAGGGCCAAGGGACGGGCGTCCCCAATGGCGAAAAATATGATATTGCACAGTTCTGCTCCCGCTGCGGGAGCTCTTTTGCGCTCTGGGGGACAATTCGCAGGCTCGAGTCATCGTGCCAACGGAACCGCAGATACATGTGAACCGTCGCAGCTTCATGCCCCCAAACGCTACCACTGATCGCGCTCTGGATCGAGGCCCTGTTGGGTCCCCGAACCGAGGTGGAGTGAGAGAGAGGTAGACAAAGAGAGGGAGAGAGAGAGAGAGAGAGAGAATACAAGAACAAAAAAAGGCGCCTGCGAGGTGGGTATGCAGACGTTGCAGGACGCGCTTCGCCCAACCACGTTCCTGGGATCGCGCGGCGCGCGCGCAGGAGGGCACGCGCAAGGGCACGGCGCCCTCCGCGCCCGAGCCCTTGACCTTCTCCTCGCGCACCCCCGATGTTGCCACCGCCAGCCACGATCATCGCCGCGGCAAGATCTGAAGGGGCCCCAGGACACACAAATAAATACACACAAATAAAAAGATTCACCATATTTTCCCATATTTTCTGGGTTTTTGTCTTCCCGCCCAATTCCCATATTTTCCCATATTCTCCTGGGAGTCAACGATTAATTGTGTCTGTGTGTTTTTTTCCCTCCTGAAGATCACGCTCGCACACGCCCGCTCCCGCTCCCGCTCCTCCCCGCAGATCCGGGCGCGCTGCAGCGTATCCGCGCCGGGCGTGGTCGCCCAACGCGTCGGGTCCCTGGGCCGTCACGGATCGATCCAGCTCGAGCATGCCGCGGAAAACTGGGACCTCTGGGGCTCTGGTCGTGGTTGTCTGCGATGCTGCATAGTTGGTCGAAACGTCGGATCTCGGGGTCCTCCTGCTCCTGCTCTTGCTCCTCCTCCTCCTCCTCCTCCTCCTCCTCCTCCGCCTCCTCCTCCTCCTCCTGTTCCTGCTCCTCCTCCTGCTCCTCCTCCTCCTCCTCCTCCTCCTCTCTCCTCCTGCTCCTCCTCCTCCTCATGCTCCTCCCCTCCCTCCTCCTCCTCCTCCTCCTCCTCCTCCTCCTCCTCCTCCTCCTCCACCTCCTCCTCCTCCTCCTCCTCCTCCTCCTCCTACTCGTCCTTCTCCTCCTCCTCATTATGCTCCTGCTTGTCCTCGTGCTCATCCTGCACCTCCCTCCTCGTCCCTCATACCTGTCGATCCGTGGCACGAAATCACGGTTGTGACTGAGCTCCGGGAAGTGCACTTGATTAAGTTTACAGCTACAGCCCCAGTAGTGATAGATTCTAACTGCCAGGTTTTGGCAGACTGTTCTGGCAGAGGCCTCTCGTGGGGCCCCAAGCCAGATATTGCAGCGTAAGTTAATCAGCAAGCTCAAGGCATTCAGGGCTCAATCGCTCATGGTAAACCAAGTCAAGGCCCACGCCATTCGGGCACAGCGCGCCGAGATGGGGCCACAACTTTGGACATGCACTTCGGCGGCAGACAAGCACGCCAAATCAGAAGCCCTGTCACAGCGAAACTAGGACTGGCAGCGTCAAGCGTACATAGTAAAGTTCCAATGCGCGGCCAGTGTAGGTCCAGTCCCAGGCCCAGCAAGGGGAGCACCTCTCCCAGTACGAACTCCAGAAGAAACGGCCACCCTGCGAAGTCAGAGGACGACAGTGAGGGCGTGGGGTCACATCACATGGAGGACGCGGCTAAAGGACAACCTCCTCCGACCCGCCTCTGCGAGCCCGAGCCTCTAGAACCTGCCGGTGTACCGTCCCCACCCACCCACCCTCTCCTCCTCCAACTCCTCATCCTCCTCCCCTCCTCCTTCTTCTCCTTCTCCTCCTCCTCCTTGGAGCCTGAACTCTCGACCTCGGGGAGCGGATGGAGAACCGCGGGGCCCCCTTTCTGGACCCGGTTCGGAGCATGGGCCACAGGCTCGTGACCCGTGCTTCTCGCGTGCTCTGCAAGCGTTACGCCTGCTGCGCGACTCCGCAGTGCCAGGCTTGCAGCTGTAGCAGCACACCGCCGTGAACCAGTCGGATTCCAGAGTCTTTGGCGAACGCCTCGAGGGGTTGTTGGGCGACTATCCCCCGAGCGCGGATCGAGAAGTCTGGTGCGGCACTACCATATGGATCGACAGGTCTCGTGCAGTCGTGCCCGCCCCCCCCCCCCCGCCGCGCCCTCGCACCCCTCCGTTCGGGCACCCATTTGCGAATAGCTCCGAGCGTACAGCAGCACCCTCACAATATAAGCCTCCTTACCCTCCTCTGCGTGCTCATTTTCATCCTCCTCCTCCTCCTCCTCCTCCTCCTCCTCCTCCTCCTCCTCCTCCTCATTCTCCTCCGCATCGGCCATGTCATTCTCCCACGCACGGGCCATCCGCCACTTTCATACACGATGAACACTCGCTTGCGTAGCTCTGCTAATCGTTCTCCACTGCCTGCTCGGCCTTGACTACCTGGCCCATACACATGGGAGGAAGCGGAGGAAGCGTTCTGGGAAGTGGCCCTCCATCCTCCATCCGTATTCCCTTTTCTCTCCCCAGCCGTGCATTCTCCCTTCTCCACTCCTCCATCCTCCACCCCCCCTCCATGCATCCATCCATCCATCCATCCCTCATCCCCACCCAGAACCGCATCCTCATCCTTCTCATCATCCCCATCAGCATGATCCTCGTCATCTGCATCGTCATCATCATCATCAGCATCATGGCTCATCATTGCCATGAACAGCATCATCAGCATCATCATATTCAGCATCATCAGCATCATCATCGACAGCATCATCAGCATCATCATCCGCATACTCATCATCATCCTCATCATCATCATCGTCCTCGACATCAGCATCATAATCATCATCATCAGCAGCATCATCCTCAGCAGCATCATCAGCATCAGCGTCAGCATCATCAGCATCAGCATCGTCGTCAGCATCAGCAGCAGCATCATAATCGTCCTAAGCCTCATCATCATCATCATCAGCAGCAGCAGCATCATCATCAGCAGCATCATCATCATCGTCATCATAATCATCATCATTAGCAACCGCATCTCCATCATCATCATCACCACCAACAACCTCATCCTTGTCGCCATCCTCATCACCATCACCATCATCAACCGTCAATCACCATCACCATCAATCAGCATCAGCATCATCAGCAGCATCAGCAGCAGCATTAGCATCAGCACCCCCAGCATCATCACCATCACCACCACCAGCATCGTCATCATCGGCATCATCCTCCTCCTGGACGGCTAAGCACCACACGCGTGCGCGCACGGTCTGCGCTGGAGGCACATGGCCACAACAGCGTGTGTTCCGAGCGGGCCGTGCGACAGCAAATATGTGTATGCCACGCGTGCCAGCAGTGTGTGGGCACCGAAGGGCACCGCAGGTTTGTGTGCAGCGCGCGTGCGGAGCGGAGAGTGGGGGGCAGGCATGTGCAGCAGCGCGGTGCTAACCCTCGCCCAGGGTTTGAGTTCCTGTGGGCCCGAGGCCTCGCGAAGGACCCAGGCAGGCTCCCCGATGATCTCCCGACGTCGCTTGAGGTGCAGGGTGAAGAAGACCATCCAGGGGTCGTGAGAGGCGTAATGGTCTCTGCTGGGCCGCCGTTGTACGGTAGTTCTCTTCCCCTGCGCAGAGCAGCCTGGGGATATGTGCAGATGTTAGAAATTGGCGAGGGGATGAGTTTGTCGACGGGGATGAGTTTCCCGAGTTTGGGACCACAGCCCCTCCCCCAGGATCGGCAAGGGATTTTCCCGCGGAGCCCTCTGCGATCCTCATGAATTTGAAATGTGTTTTCCCCACTACTCGTAATGTATTGTAATTGTCAGGCCGTGCTAGATGGGGCCATCAGGGGTGAGGAGTGGTGTGGTGCACCCGCCCAGCTGGGGCACAAAGTGACCTCTGGCGTGACTCATGGTTTCGCGTGAATGATCTGGGGGGTTTGGGCGTTCTCACACAATTCGCGCACAGCGGCGCGAGTTGGGCGGAGGCCTTGTTTTCTTCCGGGCAGCAAGCTTTTCGATCCTGTGCAAACAGAAGATTTACATGGTAGTTGATGCTGCGGAGTTTTCTGTACGGCTACAGACGATGGCGTTGGATGCTGTGGACACAACAACCGACGCCACCGAGGGCCCGCCTTCGAGTGAGAGCGAACAGACGGCCGACTCCGAGGTAGTCGAGATCACCTGCCAGGATCGCAGTCTGAAGGCACAAATTCTGAGGCACAAAGTATGATCGCATCTTGTGGTTCGGCCAACTGTTGTTTTCTGTCGGCGGTGCGCCTCATACGCCGAGTATAACTGGAATATTGGGAAAGAGCCCCTGCAAAGGGACCAAGGTTCGGAAGCCCGCGGGTATGCTGACGCGTGCGACGACGACGACGACGACGACGCCGACGACGACGACGACGAAGACTACTCTCAGGAAGAAGCGAAACCCACGTAGCTGGACTCGCATGCAGAATTTGCAGAGGCCGCCAGTTGCTAGACACGCGTGCGGACAACCATCACATCCGGCCTTCGCCGCACGAGGAAACGAACGCTGGATTGTGCCGTTGCAGCACACACGTGTTTCGATGCTGTGTCCCTAGTAGGCCGCGCGCATGCCGCTCGTATCACGAGCCAAACTCAAAGAGATCGCGAAGCAAATCAGCAACCCCAATCGAGAAGGGTGAAAGCAGCTGCTGCTCGAGGCAACGCTGTAACTTGCCGCCCAGGCAGCGTGGGAAAAACTGCGGACGCGCGGCGGGTTCTGGGAGCCCTATACCCAAAAAGCTTGCCATCTCTTGGGGGGCCAGTGTTTACTGTTGCTGGCTTCCGGCGGCCTTGCGCCAGGCGGTCCCGTTCTACGTCCGCCCCCTTGACTCGCCCATCTGCCGAGGAAGAGATGCCAACTCCTTCGGTCCTCGAGGGGAGGACATGAGAAGGAAAGAGCCTTTTCAGAAGGCGGCGGGACTTCTCAGAAACCCTCTTTCCGAAAACTTGTCCGTGTATTCAAGGAAGGCTTCGACAATTCCTCTCGAGGCCGCAGGATTTCGGAGCCTCCTGAAAAGGCCCGCCCCTTCTCATTTCCCCCCGGGCTCGCCGCCAATCCTCCCTTTCCCCCTGCGCTACAGGGTGTGGGGAAAGCGCGCCACGGGAAGGCAACCCCAGGCCCCGCGCCCCGTGGAGGCAGCCCCCCGCGAGCGGAGGGCTCTTGGTCTCGGGCAGCTCGTACTGCTCGCCGTCGCCGCGCAGGACGGCAAAGGCCTCGCGCGAGCGTGGCACCCGAGCTGGGCCCCGTCGCCGATCGCTGGCCGCGCCCCAGCCGCCACTCGCCGGCGCCACCAGCAGTTCCTGTCCCCTCTTCAGCCCCCCTTCTCCGCCCCCTTCCTCCACCAGCTGTTGGTCGTGATGTTTTCCTGTTCCTCCTCCTCTGTTCCTCCTCCTCCTCCTCTTATTCTTCTTCTTCTTATTATTATTCTTATTATTATTATTATTATTATTATTATTATTATTATTCGTCTTCTTCTTATTATTCTTATTATTATTATGATTATTATTATTATTCTTATTATTATTCTTATTCTTCTTTTTCTTTGTATTATTATTCTTCTTCTAATGCGTATTATTATTATTATTATTATTATCATTATTATGATTATTACTATTATTAATAGTATTATTATTCTTATTATTATTCTTATTTTTATTATCATTATTAGTATTATTCTTAGTATTCTTAGTATTATTATTATCATTATTAGTATTATCCTGAGTATTATTCTTACTATTCTTATTAGTAGTCTTATTATTATTAATATTGTTATTATTAGTATTATTATTGTTATTGTTATTATCATTGTTAATATTATTCTTATTAGGATAAGTTTGCTTATTCGTATTAGTAATATGCTTCTTCTTCGTCATATCATTATTACTCTTATCCATAATATTATATTTCTTTTTATTATTATTAAGATTATCCTTATTATTCTTATTCTTCTTATTATTAGTCTTATTATTATTATGTTTAATATTGTTCTTCTTCTGCTTATTATGTTTATTCTGCTTATGATTATTATTATTCTTCGTCTTAGTATTATTATTATTATTCCTCCTCCTCCTCCTCCTCCTCCTCCTGATCCTCCTCTTCCTCCTCCTCCCTCGCCTTCACCAGGTAACACCACGTGCCCACCAACAACCGTCCTCGTCCACAAATACATGCCTCCATGCGTGTCCCGGTTGTTAACCTGTTCCCCGCTGTTTCCCCGAATGCCCTCGATGTCCATAGCGCTCTGGTTCCGAATCCAGGCCTCTAACATGTGGTCAAATGCCCCATCGCCGAATTTAGCGTATAGGTTATAATAACACTATTGTGTGGGCAAATCCAGAGCCTGGTACACTCCTGGTGTCGCGATGGCTTTCAGCGCAGTGACCATGAAAAGCAAAGTATCGAAGAAGCTCGGCAATATGAGTCCACGATCACCACTAGGCCGTCCACTGTTTTAACTGATTGGCCACATCATATTTTTTTTCTTGGCTTCACCAGAATTAAGCTCCTTGAGCTGACGGGGTAGAACTGGCAACAGCGGAATGCAACTTGTACGTTTTGAACTCGCTTGCTGTCCGTCCCCTTTCCCGAAATCAAATCAACGTTCCCCTGATGCTCCATGTCATCTGACTTGTCGGTGTATAAATGTACATACATACATACATACATACATACATACATACATACATACAACGTAGATACACATGTAGGAACGCGACCTACATCCGACTTTCCGACCCTTGTCAAGAGGGGCAGCACGCGAAGCGTACGTGGATAAAGAAGAAGCCCAAGTTCTTCTTTATTGAGAAGGAAATCGGGACGTCATGGCAACTCGAGGTTCTGCCCGCGCAGGCCAATGCCTGGCCACAGAGCACGTGCAGGGGCCCTGCGCATCCATTGATCGACCACCACGGGCGCGTGGGAGCGCAGCGGGGAGCGGAAAATTACAACATGCACAAGCAGTGAAGTCCAGATGTCGAGACGAGGCTGGATGGGACACCCGGCAGTCCGACATCTAGCAAGCTCGACAACCATCTAGCAAACTCCCTCCATTTAGAAACGTCGCCTACATCCTACTGTCCGACCCCAATCAAGAGAGGCAGCGCGCGAGGTGCACGAGGATAAACAAGAAACCAATGCTCAAGTTGATTCAGGAGGGAATCGCGACGCCACGACGCCCGCGCAGGCCAATGCCTCGCAAAAGAGCATTTGCATAGGGCCCTGCGCACTCCACTGATGAGTTGTTGAACCACCGCGGGCGTGCGGGAGCGCAGCGGGGCGCCGACAATTACAACATGCAACAACAGAGATGTCCAGGCGTCGAGGTGTCGGGACGAGGCTGGATCAGACAACTGGCAGTCCGAAAGCCATCTAGCAAGCTCTGACTATTCAGCAGCGCCCCCTACATCCTACTCTCCGGCCCAAACCAGGAGAGGCAGCACGCGGAGCGCACGCGAATAAGCAAGGAAACTCAAGCTCCTGTTTAGTCAGACGGGAATCGGGGCGTCATGGCAACTCGAGGATCTGCCCGCGCAGGCCAATGCCTCGCCACACCGCTCAAACCAGCGATAGGTTCACATAGGTCAGACAGAAACAAAAAGGAAGTGCACCAACAGTCAACCCACTCCCCAAAATTGGAACTGGACTGCAACGCAACGGTATGTAAGCGACCAGGCGCCTGCTGATATGTCAACACGCAATCAGGCGAGGCGAACTTCCCCACGACGCAAGCACTCGCGAGCAGACCTCTCGGACAGCCCCCCCCCCGAACAACACGTCAGCGAGCGGCGCGCCTCGGGCCAGCGACGCGGTCGCTCCACCGCAACGCGGACCGTGGGATGCCAAGCGAAAGGCTCCGAAATCCAGCGCGTTCGCAGCCTTCTGGAGCCGCCGCTGGAGTCGAGGATAGGGCGCGCCGCAGAGCTTCTCGCTGGCCCTGAGAGGGAAACGAAGACGGCGGTGCTCGAACCAGGCCACGGCGGGTGGCCCCTCGAACAGGACCATCTTGTCGGAACCACGCTTTGCGCGGCCAAGGAAGGCCGCAAAACCAGAAGGCGCCCTGACCCAGGCGCCTCCGTCCAGCGACAGCGCCGCAGCGAAGAAAAACAGGACGGCCGCGGCGCGGCCGAACTCCCCGGCCAGGACCAGCCAGTTCACGACGCCAAGCGCCAGCACAGCTGGCATGGCGGGCGCCTGCATGGGCGGCCGCCGAGTGCGCCGCGCGTCCGGCACCTTCCAAGCGGCGCGGCAGTAGCGCGGTAGGCGGCTAGCGGCGCGGAGGCAGTCCCGAAGCCCTGGGCGCCACCAGATTCCTCGAACAGGACACGCTCAGCTAAGATCCAGTCGAGCTCCTCCTCGGCCAGCTCCTGCACGACCAGGCCTAAGGCTTGCAAGACAGAGCTGAAGTCGCCCAGGGCAGCAGCGCACCTCCGGGTGGTCACTGGCTTCAGCGCGCCCATCAAAAGGTAATGATGCGCACGCGGCGCCCGCAGGGATCCTCGACCACGACGCGGCCGACCACGCGTCTCCACGAAGGAGCTGACTGCCGAGCGAGCCAGGGCCCGGCACAGCTGCGGAGTAGAACTACCAAGCCGCGCCGCGAAGAATCCCCCCCAACCCAACACGCGCCAGACCACGGAATCCTGCGCGGCGGCGCCGGCGCACGCGGCGAAGCCCCAGGACGCCCGCAGCGCGATCATGATTGGCGAACATAGACGCGGGCGTCTGCGACGCGGCACCGCGTCGACACTGATCGAACGAGACGACGCGCAGCCCGAACTCCGCTATCCACTCGACCACCTACAGGCGACAACCAGGATCCAGAGGATGCCCCTGTCCCACCCAGACCCCCCGCACAGGACGACCCCGGTGAAGAGCTCGAGACACAAGAGCAAGAGATGGGCCCCCAGCGCACAGGCTCGGCGATCGGTCTCCGCCAGTCCTGCCAATGGCAAGAAAGGCTCGCATCTAAAGCGCAGAGGTCGCGGCCCCTGCCGCCCTGTCAGAGGACGGCGTCTGGCCCGGCTGACTGTCGAGCAAGGCGGCCCACCGAAAGAGCCCATCGCGTCGCCGCTGCTGCAGGGGGCCCTCAGCTCCTGCGCGAGCTTTGCCGATGCGAGATCGAGGCTGGCATCGAGCACAGGGTCGTAAGCCGGCGCCTTGACTACCGGGCCCACCTCGCGCGCCTCGCGCTGGACCACGCACCCCCATTGCGCCTGGGCCCCGAGCAGAAGCGCAAGAAGATGGCCCCACGGCTGACCTGGCCTCGGGCGTAGGGGGCACCGCCTCGGCGCGGAGCAGGGGCTGCGGCGGCTCGCGCCACTTGCTGCTCCCCCCAGCCACAGCGACCCGGCGAACTCCGCGCCAGCTGCTGGGCTAGCGGGGTTCTTCCGCGCGGACATCCAGAAGTGGACGCGAGAGAAGCCGCCCGCCAGCTCGACGGCAGCACCACGGCGACGCCGGCGGTTCAGCTGGCGGCCGGCGCCGCGGCCATCGATGAAAGCGCCGTCGCGCGGCGCGTTGTCACCAGCACGCAGCACTCGGCACCCCAGCTCAACGGGCCGATGAAGACGGGCCCCCATGCCCCAGGGCTTCGCGCAAGCATCCTCCAAGGCGATGCGCTCGCAGCAGCCGGGCCGACCGACCTTGAACCGGCGCGGCGCAGGCGGGGGCGCGACCCTGGAAGGGCTGCAACGCCCCTCGACGTCCACCTCGATACCGAAGCCGTCGACCAGCCTGGCGCAGGGCGCCCGATGGTCGGCCGACTGCGCGATGCGCCGCGCCGACCCCGCAGGCAGCGAGGCCAAGGCCCCGGCGTGCCCTCCTGGCGAGGAGACGGCACACTCGACCCGAGCGCGCCACTCGGCGCCCAGATCCTGCTCGGCATAAGGCAGGGGGAGGGTCTACAGCAGCACCTCGTGCCAGGCCAGCGGACGCCAGGCCACAGGCCTGCGGCCTCTCTGCGGCAAGCCCTCCAGCCACAAGCACACGTAGAAGAAAATGGATCAACAACAAGGCCGGTAGCCCTGGCAGTACTCAACCGCGCATCCCGACGGGGCGCTCCGCGCCCTCGCGGTAGACCATCTGCTGGGCCAGGGCGGCGAGGGCGGCGGCGAGCAGGTCGAGCCGTCGCCGCCGAGTGGCCCAGTGCTGACTAGGATGCGCCACCGCCCCCTGGAAATCACCCTGGCCACCGTCGACGGACTGCGATGCCCAG